TCAAACTCTGGGTATGTTTCTTCCCTTTGAATAATTTCGTTAAAATAACGAGATAAAGATGTATTTGGCAAACTCAGTACTTAAAGCTTGAAAAAAATATTATTATTATTAACAGAGTATGATTCTACTAAAGGCTAATACTACCAAAACCAATAAGAGATTAAACCAGTTCCAAAAAGAAAAAAAAAGTACATTGAGTGAGAGTCCTTATAATGATATGTGTGTAATTCAGATTAAGAATCAATGGCTACCCCAATCACAAAGAGAGAAACCACCCCTTTCAGTTGAAATTGCTGAGTTTATTTTGCCTTGAAAATGACAAGTTTTCTAAACCTAACATGTAATGTTTTATATGTGTATGACCATTCTTATTTTAGGCGACATTACAAACATACATAATTAATTTATAATTTGAGAAAATCAATTTATAATAATATATATCACATCCTTATAACTCAACTTATGACTCGAATGTTAGGAGAAGTGAAATTTGGTGTAATGTTAATCTCACTGGATATATGCTTCTAAACAACTTTAAAGTTTAACCACGAGAAAATATATCTTCACCGTTCTCGACCTTTATATGAAGTGTTTCATCAAAACTATGACCATTTAAGTTACATAACATGTAATAAATTTAAAATCAAACTCCTCTGTATCCTAGGGAATAATAGTTTTGAAAATTTAAACTGCTTTTATTTTGAGTTTGCTAAGATATAGTACCACCATGAAATATGATAGAAGGTGAATTACTTGACATTTAAGTTATATTTCTCTGTGATTTTAGAACACTTTCAGAAAGCAATTTTAAAAAAAAATTTAGGATGTCTAAGTTTTATATATTTTGTTATATTAAGTGGTCACTTAGTTTATTTTGCTAAACTGTATTTCAGGCTGCTGATAAAGACAAAGGAGACAATGCCATTATCAAGTACAGCATTGTGCAGGGAAACGATCATCAGACTTTCGAAATAGATGAAGACAGAGGCATATTATACACAGCTGACAAGTTAAACTATGAAGATCAACAACAGTACACCATCCAAATAACAGCCAGAAATCTGAAAGCTTTCCAAGGACCCCAAGCATCCACAATTGTTAACCCTGTTGTAGAGCTGATAGTCAAAGTTCAAGTAAGAGAAAGTCAGGAATAAGTACGTCCTTGAAAATAACATAAAACTTTGTTAAATCAAGCTTATGCTTAGTCCTTCTGGTAAAATATTTAATATATATTACGAGAACATACACAATGTTACATAACATTATATCCCTATATATAGAACAATTTAAATGTTCATAGTTAGAGAGTACAATTCTGATAATGTACATAATACTTATGCTTAGTCCTTCTGGTAAAATATTTAATATATATTACGAGAACATACACAATGTTACATAACATTATATCCCTATATATAGAACAGTTTAAATGTTCATAGTTAGAGAGTACAATTCTGATAATGTACATAATACTTAACAATAAAATTATCTATTTTTTAACTTCATTTAAATTCAGAGATGTCAAAGTGGCGCCTTAAGGACATATCATGATATGAAATTAGAATTTTCAAATTAACAGCCTCTATTAAAAATAAAGCAATCCAATGACAGTTTTATCGTGAAATGTAAAAATAATTAAAACTATAGAACCAGTTGTAATGGTGATTGCAATAACTTAATAGTAGGTTCATTCAATAAAAATAATAACTAATAGAGTTTGTAAGCACATGTAACAACTCCATGAGAATTTGAAGTGTTTCATATAGAGCTCCCACTATCATGTTAGTTTAGAACACTAACTAGTGTAAGCACATGTAACAACTCTGGTTGTGGAGTGTTTGAAGAGTTTCACATTGAGCTCCCACTTTCATGTTCGTTTAAAAAAACTAACTAGTGTAAGAAAATCTTCCTCCATTTTACCTGAGTGACAGGATTGTATGTTGTTTTGGGGGATTGTTTTACGTAAACTATGTTATTCTTTATGCATTGCCTGAGAACAAAGGGGACTTAAATTCGTTCGTAATTTTGAGGAGTGTGTACTTCTCCTCTGACTCTTACAAATATACATACTTTGATGACAATAAGGTATACTTTATGACTTTTCACTGCCTCTAAGCTATTTTCCATCTATAATTTTTATTGTCTTGAAAGAGATGTCTCTGTGAACTCTCTTCCAGCTATGAATTTGTGTTTTACTAATGGCATGACAATCAGAGTTTCTAAATCATACTTGGGTTTAATAATTTGGTACAAAATGTTTACATTTTGTCTTTCAAACAGGACATTAATGATGGTGCAGTCGTTTTCACGATGGCTTCCTACCACTACGGAATCTTGGAGACAACTTCACGTGGCAAAACTGTGGGTTTTGTGAACGCGACGAATTTCAGCCGAGCTCCTCGAGATCAAGATATAATTTACTGGGTCGGCAAGGGAAACGAAATGGGGAAGTTCTGGTTAAATCCTGCCACTGGAGCTCTGGTGTTGATGGACACTATTGATAGAGATCCTCCTGCTAACCAACAATACTTCAAACTTGAGGTAAGTCTTTATTAATGATTTGAGATGTTTAGACATTATTTTAACGAAACTTGAATGACTTGAACTGCAACTAGACTTACATTTTTTACATTGAAAATATAGTTTTATGGTTTTTATACTCGGAAAATGTTCAACGGTGTATGATTTTTCGATATTGTAGAAAATAACAAATTCTATATTCAGTACCATATATGGTACGATCTATAATTTCTTTATACAGACTACTTATTTTTTAGTTCCTATTGATAAAGTGGCGATTTGCAAACTTAAAAACTTCTATCTGTTAAAAGTTTTCAATACCGTTTAAGTAATGCAAAAAAGGGTAACAAAATAGGTAATGATAGTTTAGTTATATATATATATATATTTCCTTAGTCAAATCAAATGGGTATTATATCATTTGCAGGTGTTCGCTCGTGACACTCTTTCCATCAATTCCTTCAACACTAGTGTTGAGGTCAAAATTGAGGTTATTGACGTAAATGACAACGTACCAGTGTTTGATGAAGGTAAGTTGTGACATTTAAACTCGTTTGTGGACTATCTGAACTTTTTACTGTTTTTTTTCATATTTATAAAAATCGTATCAGGTTCAAGTTCAAACCTTTGCCACTATATAGAAATGGGAACATTCCTTAATGTTTGTTTTCTTTAGTTTGTAAAATATATCCTGAGAGAGACATAGTATTCCTAATGGGAACATTCCTTAATGTTTGTTTTCTTTAGTTTGTAAAATATATCCTGAGAGAGACATAGTATTCCTAAATAATTATTCCTTTCATTCTACCGTTTG